CGGCCTTTCATTTGTTCGATCGATCGACAGCTACGCGCATCAACGAAAGAGAAAGGCAGACCGCAAGCGGGGCCTCAGAATAAACCGACCACTTGACCCTCCTCATCCAGGTCGATGTTGAGGTATCCGGGAGCGGTAGAGAGTCCGGGCATGGTCTGCATAGCGCCGCACAGCGGATAAAGGAATCCGGCACCTGCGCTAAGTTTGACGGATCGAATGGGTACTTTGAAGCCCGTCGGGGCACCTTTGAGCACGGGATCGTGCGAGAGGGAAAGCTGCGGGCGAGGCGAGGCGGGGCGAGGCGAGGCGTTCGCAAGACTGGTCAGTCCACTCATTCCAGACCGAAGCCATCCCAAAAGAGGGGCAAAGAACTCACGTGCGTCTTGGCCATGCAGATGGGCAAATTTCTATATCCCTGTCTCGTGTACGTGTCGATCTGATTCTTTGCAAAGTCCGAAACCTCGATGCCATCCGCTCCGTACATTTCCCTCGCAATCGTTTCGATCTTCTTCTCAATGTCCTGGTTCAGATCGTACAGGAACTCAAACTTGCTCTTTTCGCCTTCGAGCGTATCGATTAGGCCTTGAGCTAGCTCCTTAGCACCTTCACCTCCCTGCGCCCAGTGATTGGCCGGGATGGCCTTGTCAGCTCCTGCTTTGAGCGCCTGCTTGACCACAAGATCCAGCTCCGCCTGCGTATCCGTAGAGAACCTGTTGACAGCAACGATGACCTTCAGACCAAACTTTTTCGCATTCTCGATATGCTTCTCGAGGTTGACGCAGCCCTTTTGCAGAATGTCCAGATTCTCCTGCAGGTAAACTTCCGAAAGCGGCTTGCCAGGCGTCACTTCCGGTCCTCCTCCGTGCGTCTTGAGCGCTCGCACAGTGGCTACCAGCACCACGGCATCCGGCTTCAAACCGCTCTCTCTGCACTTGATGTTGCAGAACTTTTCCATGCCTATATCCGCACCGAATCCAGCTTCCGTAATGACGTAGCCCGCGCTCGTATCGTCTTCGCCCTCTTCCGTACCCGCGAGTTTGAGCGCAATGGCGTCAGCAAGGATGCTGCTGTTTCCGTGCGCAATGTTGGCAAAAGGTCCAGCGTGCACAAAGACGGGAGTCCCTTCGAGCGTCTGCATCAAGTTCGGCTTGATCGCATCCTTCATGAGCACCGTCAATGCTCCTCCGATACCGATGTCATCCGCAGTGACGGGTTGTCCAGCTTTGCTAGAAGCTACAACCATGCGACCCAACCTCTCCCGCATATCCTGCAGGCTGCTGGCCAAAGCGAGAACAGCCATGCACTCGCTAGCAACTGCAATATCATATGCCGTCTCCCTGGTGTGTCCCTTCTCAGTGGGCGCTTGTCCGACCGTGATGCCTCTCAAGAAGCGATCATTGGTGTCGGTGACGCGATGCCAAGTGATCGTCTCGGGATCAATGTCCAACCTGGCAAACTTGACGCGCTCCTCTTCCGTAAGCTCTTCCGGATCCGTCTTGTCGATGCCCAATTTCTTCAACCTCCTAAACATGACTGGCGCAAAAGATCTCTTGCCCTTCTTCTTTGGGCAAAGCCGGTCGAAGAGCGGACCATCCTTTTGAGTGGCCTCGTGGAACATGCGAGCGTCGATGGCTGCTGCCAAAAGGTTGTTGGCAGCTTGCACCGCATGATTATCGCCAGTCAAGTGAAGGTTAAACTCTTCCATCGGAATGACTTGCGCATAGCCTCCACCTGCTGCTCCACCCTTGATGCCGAACGTAGGTCCCTGGGAAGGTTGTCTGACGCAAGCAAAAGCTGGTTTGCCAAGATGAGCTCCCAGTGCCTGGGCCAATCCGATCGTCGTCGTGCTCTTGCCTTCACCAAGAGGAGTTGGTGTGATTCCTGCAACGACCACATATTTGCCATTCTTTCGATGTTGCAGTCTTTCCAAAACCGACAGGGCCACCTTTGCCTTGACGTCCCCATACGGTTCCAACTCCCTCGACAGCAGACCGATCTCCCTCGCGATGGTAGTGATGGGTCTTGGCGTCTGAGCTCTGGCCACTTCAATGTCCGAAGGTACCTTTTCGAGGATGTTGATGGGATTCAGCGAAGTGACGCCTCGGGCTCTTCCGCTGCTAGAGCTCTTGAGAGCCGATTCGAGCACGTTGACCATGAGCATGGCCACCGTCATGGGGCCCACACCACCGGGTACGGGAGTGATGGCTTTGGCAACTTTGGAAGCTTCATCAAAGTCCACATCTCCAACCAACCTTTGACCGCTCTTTTTTGTCGAGTCAGCAATGTAGTTGGTGCCCACATCGATGACCACCGCGCCGGGTTTGATCCAGTCACCCTTGACAAATTGCGTCTTGCCTAGACCAGCAACGACGATATCGGCATCCTTGACGTGAGCCGCCACATCCTTCGTCTTGGAGTGACATTGCGTAACAGTAGCATTTTTGGATCGCAGCAGCGCGACTACGGGGTTTCCCACAATGTCAGATCTTCCAATGACGGTAGCTTTGAGTCCCGAGAGGTCTTTGAGTCCAGCTTCTTCCAGCAGCCTAATGACCCCAGCAGGCGTGCAAGGCGCAAAGGCGGGATTGCAAGCTTTGCTGGACAAATGGCCGATATTGAGCGCATGAAAACCGTCCACATCTTTCTCGGGCGAGACGGCTTCGGTGACTCTGCGCTCGGCAGCCGCATCGATGTGACTGCCCAAAGGAAGCTGCACGAGGATGCCATCGACCGAGGTGTCCTCATTCAAATCTCCTACTCGACTGACGATCAGACTCTCCGATGTTCCTGCTGGCAGATGAACGTGGGTGAATTTCATGCCGCATTCTTCGGCTGCTAGACGTTTCATGCGAATGTACGTCGATGACGCGCTGTCCTCCCCAACTTGGACGATGACGAGATGAGGCTGGAACTTGGACTGCGTCTTGCGCACCTCGGCAATCCGCGACGCTACGTCTGCTCGGACAGACCTGAACAAGTGGACGCGACAATGCAGTGGACGGTCAGCCTAAGCATGACATGCTTGAACCAGTGCGCGCGGTACACCTCTACTCACTTGGCAATGGCCGTGCCGTCCAGAATGATGGCGCCCGAGCTGGACATGGTGAACTTGCTCCTCTTGGCGACGGGCTGAATGCTGGGCAAGGTTGAGGTGATGATGCGCGCGAAGCTTTTACGAATTGCGGATGGTGATGCGACTTGTCGAGATGCGGATTGCCAGATATACCGAGCTGGAGCTGGAGCTGGAGCTTGGATGAAGGGATGAGAAGGCTTGAGGTAGTGTGGGTGGGTAGGTGTGCGAGTGCGAATGAGAGCTCGAAGGGAGCTTGAAGGTGGGTGCATCACACGTCGTGTGCGCGATGGACGCCTGCAATTGACGGCGGGGGATGGGCAGCAGCTAGCTGTGGGCTGGTCTGGTAAAGGGTTGTTGTGTGATGTGCAGCTAGTCACGAGGGATCGAAACGAAGGCTTTGCTGGGCGGGTGGGTAGGCTGGCTCAATCTCTCAATTTGAATCAAGAATGAAGCTAGCTAAGCGATAAGCCGGGAATGAGTCTGATGAGTGTGCATGCTTCCCTACCGCACCTCGACTCACCACTCATCACACTGCACCGCTAGAAGATTAATTGAATCAGAATCACGAATAAGCGCTCGGCACACTCGTGACTCACACTCGTCACTGCTCGTGAGTCGTGACTGACTTTTGACCGCGCGGTGTGGAGGAAAAAGCGGGCGTGCGCGTGTGCGTGCGGCCAGTGCGGGGCTTCTTCAACAAGCTACGCGCTACAGTAGTCACGAGTCTCGCTTTGCTATTCCGACACATTTCTTCCTGCTGCTGCTACTCACGACTTTTGATTCAGCCGCGCGACCGATCTATGGCGCCTATGGGCTCTCGAGCGTCACATTCACATTCACATTCACATTCACATTCACATTCACATTCACATTCGTGATTCGTCTCTCTACATTCACCATTTGATTGGGGAATTCGATCTCAAGATCGACTCACCAGCGTGCATGCAGTCCCAGTCCCAGTACCGGTATACGCCAAATATCATTCAACGATTCAGATTGCTGACTTTCACATAACTGAGCGCGGGTCAGCAGACGGCTAGCAGCTATGGTGGGGGTCACCCGTGACCTGCATCATAGGCACGCAACATCCCCCCCATCCACGTGGCTCGCGCATCAGTCTGGAAGCGCACAGCATGCTGCCTGCATGCAGATGCCCGCCCGGGCTCTCCGCGCTCTCCGCTCTCCGCGCTTCTCCGCTTTCCGCGCGGCGGGGGACAAGCGCGCGCGAGAAGGAATCACGAAAATGCTTTGAATGGCTCGGCTGCTGATCGGACCGGCTTTGCAGCAGCTGTGGCATGACATGCGTGGGCTGGGGCTGGGGTGCGGGCGGGAAGCAGACAGATATGCAGACGCAAATCACGCACGAAGATCGAGCCGCACGCACGCACGTACAGCCACAGTACTTCTGCAGCTGATTTCTTTGACACGCAAGACTCACGACTCCGTGTGAATCTGCTGTAGCGCTACCTACAGCACACCGGTAGGGTACGGTGTTCAGATCGTGAAATCTTTCGATCCCAATTTGTACCGATGACTGGTGACGTTGGTGGATCTTGAATTAATGATTGGTCGAGTCGCGAGTCTGACTTTTGCGGGGCTGACTGGCATTCACATGGATTCGTGATTGGCTGGACGGAGTGACGCATATATGCGCTTTTGTTTTGCACA